ACAAACAACCAACCAAAACCAACCACCTGACCAAGTGACCAACCAAAAACCAACAACCAACAAACAGAAAACAAACAACCGACCAACCAAACAAAAACAAACTACTGACTGATCAACCAAAAAAAAAAACAATGAACTGACAAATCGAAAACAGACAAACCAAGCAAAGACAAACAAAGTCTGGGCAGCTGCCTAATAGTCCAAGAAAAAAAAGAAAATCTTAGAGAGATTAAAGATTAAAGTCACAAATTTGTTAGAAAGTAACTCACAAGTGTTGCTTTTTCTCACAAATGTCATTGTCCAATTTTCTTCTCACAAATTTCTGACCTTATCGTCTCAGAGAATATATGAGTGTTTTTCTCAAAAATACAAAACTCTAATCTCAGTTATTAGGAGTTTATTTCTCCCTTCTCTGGCTCCATAATTGTTTATTTATCATATCAATAAACTCTACTAGACCGAGCAGACAGCAGATGACAACTGATGGTTCGTATTTATTGTGTACAATGGATGTGAAAGTTTTCATGCAGTGTAACAATTCATTTATTAGTTCCAAGGCAGCAGTGTCACAACGCACTATATTAAGGTAGCGGGCGGATCTATTCTCAGCAGGGGTGAAAATCAGACAAACACATACATCCGTTTTGGTTCTAAGCACAGCCTTTTACTTGAAACTCTTTACTTTATACCCCCCTCAAGCTCAAGCGCATCCCCATTCACACAATAGTGCAAAACCCAACACGGCTTTCAATAGAGTCCGTAAAGTTCAGCAAATAGTTCATTAATCAGTTCATGGATCGTCCAGCTTTATAGATATAGGTATACCACCACCTGCACGGCTCTGCAAGGTCACAAACAAATGAAACACATCACAGTACTCGTAGCAGGTGGCCGACGGCATCAACAGATGATTGACTCACGGCTCCGTGCATCAGCCCTCCCGTGAACGATATTGACATACATTTAGATTTCAAGAAACAATACCCGTGACCAAGTCAGAAAATATGTTTACATTATTTTACATACCAAGATAAGGCATCAGTTCACCCATGCTGGGTGCCTATGATGTAAGGACAGACCGGACCTTTACAGCAGTATTTATTAAGAATTTTTGCCTGATAAAAACTCAGAGAATACTTATGTTTTTCATATGTACAGGTATGGCATAATGGATAATTTACCCAGTTAAAGAACAGCAGTGCTACATTTCTGTAGAGCTGCAGGAAAACCGTTTTATATTTAGTTGTTGATGTGGACGAGCTGTAAAGAGACTAAACGGCGTTACATTTTGTTGTTGGGTTTTATAGACAGTTTCAAGATGTTTTTGCTCTTGAAGAAATTTGTGTTTATATCTTATTTCACCCTCGTTTTCACACCAGGCTACAACCAGATGTTCATCATCCCTGTCGGAGCCACAACCATCAGCATCAGGGAGACTGTGGCCTCTAGGAACTACCTCGGTGAGTTTAGGTATAAGACAATCAGAAAACATAGCTTGCATTTGTAGGGTTCTAACAAAATTTTACCTGCCCGAGCAGCGATCAAGAACCTGCGTGGAGAGTACTACCTGAACGGACACTGGGTGATCGAGTTCTCCAGGGCGACCCCCATCGCTGGCACCGTTCTTTTCTACCAGAGAGGAGCTGAAGGCGACAACGTGCCCGAAACCATCATCGGCCGCGGACCCACCACCGAACCGCTCGTTGTCGAGGTAAAACATCACAGATAATCAGATTACTGTTATCTTTAACTCTTTTATTTGTCCGTCACGTTTCCAAATCTGTCTCCAGCTCAGATCAAGTCCTCTTTGTTACTCCTCACAACACAAAAGCTGTGAACTTAATGAGCAGCACTTTGATAACTTTGATTCAAAAACCATCTGCATGTTTGTTTTTTATTCCATCTCGAATCATCAGAGTTCTTTTGCTCGACCATCTCTAATTGGCTTGAAACTTTGCTATCATAAACTATGGCTATTCAAAAATATATCTGTGACATTTTATTTTGATATATCTAATGTTATTTAAAATTTCTTTAAAAACTGCCCATAAGCCCTCTTTCAGAACTTTTTTCAAACTGTTGTGGTGCAATTATGGTGTTATGGAAGCAAGTAATGCAAATTAAATGCTTGATTTGCTGAAAGAATTAAGCAGGGCTGCCTTATAGCGTGACTAAAATGTTAGCAAAGAGGATTTTGAAATAGTAGATGTGGAGGAGATTCAATGAAATACCATGAAAGCAACAATAATACATTTTACTAATAAGGCACCTTCTAAAAATGAAGTTACAGTGAAAACATACAAAAAAGTGATAGGACTAGAACTTAAGCTACAAACAAGATATGGTCATTTAAATAATTACACCAGTTGCCTTCCAATTAAATTGAGTTTTAACAGGAGATTTAAAAGATGATACTGAGGTTCCACAGCTGATGGGTCCCAGCAACAAAAGCTGATTGGTTAATCGATTGATTACTGATACATATTTAACACTCTGTCCTCTCAGCTCATCAGCCAGGAGCCCAACCAGGGAGTGGAGTACGAATACTACCTCCCAAACGGACGCTCCAGGGACGGATACTACTGGAGCTTTGGGTCGTGGTCTGCCTGCAGCAGAGAGTGTGGATCAGGTCAGACAGCAGACCAACATCTGAAGCCTTTCTGTGCTGCTTTATTGCTTTAGTTTGATTTTCTTTAACCGTCCGGCTCTGTTGAAAGTGAATCAACTCTTTCATGTCCTCCTTCGTTAGGCTACCAGTCTCGGTTGGTCTTCTGCACCATCGATAACGAAGCCTATTCCGATTATCTCTGTGCTTCTCTGCCAAGACCACAAACCAACCGTACTTGCAACCCCCATCAATGCCCACAAGTCCGCAGGTAAACACTGAAGCGTCACCGTCTGCAGTATGTCCCACAGGGTCTGCAGGAGTTAATCTTAGTTCCATTCCCAGTGGATTTGTTTAAAAGAAGTGCCAGAAACACCGTTGGGAGCAGCTTGTTGACTGTTGTTGGTGTTATGACTGTCTGAAAGGATGGCGTACCTGTATCCACCACAGTTGTGGAGATCCTCAGAGAGACCCAGAGCCTATGTGTTCAGGTAACCCAGGTTCTATGGTGGTAGTGAAGCCTTAGCCAGGGGGGAGATCCCAATCACTAAACCAGTGTTTGTAGTCCCACTCTTGATTAATATCCCTCATTTTCATACATGTCAACCTCTTCGGATGCCCACTTGTATCACCGCCTGCAAAAATCCGTAAAAATGCACAGAAAATCTGTAGATACCAACAGTTGATGTCGACAAACATGTTAACCCTCTGAACTCCAACCAGTTTCTGGGCGTTTCTTGATCCTGTCACATGTTTCCTCACTGTGGGCTCATTTTTCACTATAATATAAAGTCCTGCACCTCTATGGAAACAGAACAACCATGGCTAGAAGGAGACAGAACTCAGAAATGTCTTCTTTGTAATATGATCAAGTAACAATGCGATAAATCATTTAAAAAAATTAAATGAAAAAAAAAAAAAGAACTAAAGCGGAATTTATTTGATGATTTATTTGTACAAAACAAAAACAAAAAACTGAAAGCAGCATGCGCACCACTTTTATATGTTCCCACATGTGTTGGTAATTAAAAAATAAATGAATAAATGTTGCCGCTACTTACTGCAGATATGTAGCTACATATTTAATTAGTTTCAATGCCTGTTTTCTCTCTGCTCGGTGTAAACACTGCCTACAGTTTAGCTGAAAAGTCCCTGAATTTTTGTCATGTGACTTTTGGTCCCAGCTGAGTCAATAATGGTTTCATGGTTGGGCTCAGAAGAGAAGAATTTTTTGTTTTTTACAGAATCAGCTTAATGCTAATTATTTATTATTGGCTGTTTTTTTAAATCATACAGTATCATCATAAACTCAAGTGAATTTGATGATGTTACAATTTTAAGCTTAGACGCACTTACTTTTCCCTTTTAATCTACACATCATAGATTGTTTGTTCAAATCCCGTCAGAAAGTATAAAAAAACAATATTTTTTTCTGTTTTTACAGTTTGTGGCTTTGATAAATGGGGTCATTTTGGTGACATGACAAATAACATGACAGGTTTTTTTGTGTGTTCAGAGGGTTAAATCAAAACTGCACCAGAGAATGTACATCAGAAGGAGAATCAGCCACACAGGAAGAAATCTACAGGATGAAAAGAACAACTTAGTAGCATAAAACAATCTGTATTTTAAATCTGTATTTTAAACTGTGCAAAAGCTATTTAAATTCTCTATATAATTCTATAAACTCTATATAATTCATGGACATCCGTATAAGTTGACATGTATGTATTTCTCTCACATGGGCACCTGGAAAACAAAAATCATCAACTAGTGGGCTCTGAAAAGTGCTACAAAGGCCAATAATTCACTAAACGTTGATTGAAATCACAGCATACCCCCTATTAGTGGTGTTTGACTGTCTGTGTTTAGTGCGAAGCCTGTTCCTCCATGCGGGGCGAGAACGAAGGCGAGGGGCAACCGTCCAGCTCAGAGATCTGATTTCAGCCTCCTATTGATCCTCATTTGTCTTGGAAACACTTTACTCCTGTTATCAGGGAAACCGGATTTGATGCCAGATTTCTGTCAGAAACCTCTTTAACCCTCCTGCGCCGGTCTCTGAGCTGAGCTGCTGCCCGGCGGCTTTAGTGTGTGTGTGTGTGTGTTGGTGTTGCCGACGTGTTGGCGGGTCAGAGGTTGTCATGCTGAGGTTGTTGTGGATTGTGTAGCGCTGAATGGGACGCAGCAGCAGTAAACAGCAGCAGCTTCAGTCAGTGACTCTCTGGTATTTCCTGCTTCTCTTCTTTGATGCTGCAGAAACCTGAGAAGTTTAAGAAGCCTGAGAGACGCTGGCTGTAGTGTCAGTTTACTTTGGTTTCAACAAACGCTGCAGAAAACAAGCAGAGAAGAACCATTCAGATTCTCCACTTAAGTAAAAGTACCAAAACTACACTGTTAATATAGTCTGTTACAAGGAAAACTCCTGCAAGAACTTTACTGAAAATATACAGTTAAAAAAAGAGAGAATAGTCCAGCACAAATGGGCCAAAGTTACTTTAAAATATTGGAATATAACCATAACATAAAAATACAGGAATTTTACATAGTTATTTTAATTTAGATTTAAATTTCAGTCTTTGTTTTACATGAGATTATGTGCTATTATTCTTATTATTATTCTTATTATTATTNTTCTGATTCTGAAGGGACTGCAGGTGGACATTAGCTTAAAGCCAACTTGTACATGGTCCCTTTTCAAATTAACTGATTATTATTATTATTGTTATAATTATTATTATTATTATTATTATTACTAATAATAATAATAATAATAATAATAATGGCAATATACCAATATATATGACCAATATAATAAATCATATATAATAAAAATTATATATGATGATAAACCTGTATTTGGACAGACTATCGATGCTTGGACTTTGTGTACTGATGAACACACTTTCATTTAGCATTTTAATGTGAACACCAGAACTTTCTGTTAATTTTCACTGACGATGCTCAAAAATATTTTAAATGTAAGAACCAAATTCGAAAAGGAGATGAACATCAGCGTTGATCAGTTGACTCATTAGATGTAAATATTTCTGGACTAAAGCTCCTTCCTTCAGTAGTGTCCTTCGTCCTGTGGTACTCACAGTATGTAGTAAACACACACAATATGTAGTGTTCTCAGTATGTAGTAAACACACACGATATGTAGTGTTCTCAGTATGTAGTAAACACACTGTACTGTATATATCAGTGTGTATATATGTTGATGAGTTAGTGAAGATACTGTCCTCTGCCTCTCCTCCTTCATCTCGGTGGGTTTGTCAGCTGGAAAACCGGCGAGTGGAACGCCTGCTCCGTCACCTGCGGTGGAGGCTCTCAGCTGCGCAGCGTGCAGTGTATTTCCCATGATGCATCTGGCCCCCGCGTGGTGGAAGACGCCGTCTGCGCCGCCTACGCCGAGGCTCCTCCCACTCTGCAGACCTGCAACATGCACAAATGTGCCGAGTACCAAGTGACGGCATGGAGCGCCGTGAGTCAGCTACAATAATCATAATCATAAACTTTTCTTAACAAACTTACAAAGTGATTAACAGGATTAACAATGATTCAGAAGACTAATAACATCAATAAACGTGAATCAAGTCTATCTTTGCTTTTGTCTGAAGAAGATGTAATAGAGGTTCTTCAGAACATCTGTGACCCGTGTCGTTCACGTCTAACTGTGTCCTCAGTGCTCGGTGACCTGTGGTTCAGGAGAGCAGACCAGAGAGGTGACCTGTGTGGGTTCAGGTGGGATGAGGCTGGAGGAAACCTCCTGCAGCACTCTGCTCCGTCCTGCAGCCGTCCAGCCCTGTCAGATGGTGGCCTGCTCCAGACAGATCAGCTGGCATGTCGGGGAGTGGGGTCTGGTGAGGGGCATACGTCCACAGTAACACGGTCCTGGTGGATTTATGGCTGCTTTCATTCATTCATCTCTCTGTTCCCCCCCAGTGCTCTCGTAGCTGTGGCTCCGGCTCTCGGGAGCGTCAGGTGATCTGCTCGGACCAGGAGAGGAACCTTTATCCTGTGGCTCAGTGCAGCGCCCAGCCGAAGCCCACCACCGTGGAGCGCTGCAACTCCCAGCCCTGCTACAGCCCCCAGGGTGAGAGCAACCTCTGCAGAAGATATTGTGTCTGTCGTTGGCTTCTTCCTTATAGAATTTTGCTAATGCAGCATCATTTTGCATCCTTGCAAAGTGTAAATATTTTAGATTTCTTACATTTGAATCCTCTTCTTGTTTTTCTTCTTCTTCTTCTTCTTCTTCTTCTTCTTCTTCTTCTTCTTCTTCTTCTTCGTCTTCTATTCTTCTTCTCTATCTAGCGCAAAATGTGGACCTCTTCATCTGAATTTCTCATAAAACATACACAATTGTGCATTAAATTAAGTGCAAGTTGCTCTTAAATGAGAAAAAAGTCTGAAAGTGCAAATAGACGTCAGCTTCTGTAAAGCAGCCGTGCACTGACTTTCTGAACCATCCTCTCATTGTTCTTTGTGTGTTTTATGTGCTGTGTGTGCAGCTGTTCCCAGCGTCCAGGACCCACGAGGACACGACAACAGTCAGACTGGCTTCCAGCCATATGTGCCGGATCACGCAACAGGTTAGACTCCTTCTTTCACAGGGTCACTGAAGCCAAACAGCAAGTGTTTTCTGCACAAGAAGGTAGACGAAGCCTTTAAATAACTATCAGAAAGTCAAGAACAGTGAAATAAGTCGCTGAAGATGGCACATGTGGAAAAGTTGTGTGAATTTGCAGCAGCGTGAAAGTCTTCCAGCAGGTTTTCCATCATGTTTGGAAGCTGCCTGTAGGTGTTCCACTCTGAGCTGATATAACTCCTGTCACTTTGTCCCCATCCGTCCCCCTCCGTCCCCACCCAGCCGGTCCCTGCACTAATTATCCAGACCTGATTGACATGTTTTCAGGCTTCCACGGGCATTGTTGGCCTGATTAAAATATTTCCGGAGCACTGAAGTGTGCTAGCGCTGGCGGTGGCGTTTCTGGCATTTTCGGCACCATGTGCTGTCCCAGTGGTCAGGAATTCCAAGTTTGGGGGTCCTGAGCGTGTTTATTCCCCCATGAGGTTATTTATGCTGATCACCGCGACTTTATTTTCCCATAAACAAATGGTTTGGAAATGTAATCATAAGTGATTTTGCATTCTTTTGTGTTGCCTGTGAACACTCGCTGTGTGGCCTCAAGCATGGTGACGTCCAGTAGACCTTATTGTAAATGTGCACAGTGACGTGTGAACCGCTCGTCTATTTAAAACACTGAGAACTGCAGGGTTAGAAAGAACTGTAAAACAAAACTTTACCATTACTTAAAACGTCTTTTTTTTTTTTTTTTTTTTACTTTATTACAATTATCAACCATTTTAAATGAGTAATATACGTATTTTTTTCTTTCCAAAAATGCCAAATATCTGTAAAATTATATTTTTGCTCATTTAAATACAACAAAAAAGTGTAATTTTATGTTGAAATATTGAAATAGAACAAATATAGATATACAAAACACAGTTTTTTGTTTGTTTTTGTTTTTTATGAAAAGTGAAAACTGTATAATAACACTTTACTATCATTTGTACCTTCTTTGTTCATTTTATTTTTTTTTACTTTTCCATATTTATTTACAGTTTTTATATCTACAATATGCACATTTTTTTCCTTTCAAACAATATCTTTAGAATAATTTTTAAAAAATTAATTTTAAGATTCTTTTTGTTTTTGCTAATTTAGAAATGGAACAACTTAGTGTCTATAAACATTTGTTTAATTTATTTTTTTATGTGGACATTTTCCACAGTTTTGGCCTCTTTCATTTTAATTTTTTTTAATAGGAATCATGTAAATTAATACCAGCCAATATTACCAGCCAGTCAATAGCTCGGTTTGGTCATATTTCAGTCCGCAGGCCCGAGACAAGGGACCCGGCCCAGACCAACACCGTCCAGGACCCTCACAGCTCGGCTCCGGCTCTCCACTGCAGCCAGTCTTACTACGGCTGCTGCCCAGACGGACGTACTTCAGCCGGAGGACCGCAGGGCCTCGGCTGCCCTCACACTCCGGCTCCAACTCCCTCCCAGCCGTCCTGCAGCCGGACCAGGTATCCTGTCATTACTCTGTGGCTCCATGTCTTTGGGTGTCGGTTTCACGGCTGCATTATGTGACCACACCAACCAGCGCCGGTTCGACATGACGCAGAACCACAAGAATTCCCGCTAACTGACCGCACTGGGCTTTTCTTAGAAATGTCACATTTGCACATTTTTGTCGTTTTTGGTCTGGACTTTGATTGCACACTGCTTCATGGTTTGTACCTGCTTCCTTCCTGTTCTGTGTGTCAGCTATGGCTGCTGCCAAGACGGTGTGACGGCGGCTCAGGGCCCCAACATGCTTGGATGTGTGAGTGACATGGTCCCAGCTCCCACCGTAAGCAAATACACAGCACCTTCTTCCTTTTTTTGTTCTGTTAGGTGGCTAGAACAGAGCATATGTTGCTGGCCCTGGATGAAATATTTGTATTTTTATCATTTAAGATGTGTTTTATGTCTTTTTCTTAACCTTAAAAACCAGTGACTCAAGGTCAAGTGACCAAAAATGAAGCTATAAAGGGATAAATATAAAAAATCTAAAGCTATATAAATATAAAGGTAAATAAAAATACAAATCTCACACTGGATAAAAAATATAATATAAATATTCAAAATATTTGGTAGTTATGATCAAAACTAGTGTTGGTTCAAAGATTTACTAAGTAAAAGTATAAAATAAGCTTAAAATATACTTTAATGGCAGTTTTTTTACAAGGACCTTTTTGTCTCTGAGATCATGAGTTGTTTTTTATTTTTTATTTTACTTTTATTCTCATTCTGCTAAATAAATAAATAAATCATCAGTAACAACAACAACCAACCTAATATATATATATATACATATATATATATATATGGCATGCCGTTTAGGAAATTATATATATATGTAACAGTCTGAATAT